CTGGAAAATACCCACTCCAGGTAAGCTCTCAGAAGGCAGAGACAGCAGCTTCCTTCACGCTACTGCTATCTGGAGACAAAAAGCTAGAACAAGCTGTTATCTTCCGAGCTTTGACAACACAGCAACCCAAATCTAATAACGCTTTAGCGAGAGGTAATCCAATAGTTTCGGCTGAGCAATTGTTTCAACAGTCGCAGCGTTCTGGTACAAAGGGAGGTGGAAAATCAATATTTCCTCGGTCCAACCCACGTAGATCTTAAGCAAATGGGGAACAAAATGCTTGGTTTTCCTTCGTCGTCCTGGCAAGCTCAGGGCCCTTCCACAGCGCCCCAGCCAAAGCAGAGCAGGAGCAGAGCTGTGGCAGCTGAAGCAACATCCCCTGGTCCTTATCAAGTTAAGTTGGGCACCGTACCTGCAGGAGACCTCAGGAGAGGACATCGGTCACAGCTGGTAATTTGGGCACTGGAAGCAAAGAGTTTGCACGTGAGCTGGGTGTAAATAGTGAAGGACAAGGGATAATTTCAACAACAACAACAAAAAGTTAAAAAGAAGCAAAAATAAATAAATAAAGTCAACAGCCCAGTCACCTCCGATTTTTAGGGCTATCCATCTTTTCATCCTAATGATGTTCTGTTGGAAAACTCCCTTTAAAATCTCTGCTAATCCGGGATGCCGAGTGCCATCATTTCCTGGGGAAATGGTGATAAACAACTGCTAAGGAAAAAAAAAGGAAAAAAAAGAAAAAAAAGAAAAAAAAGGAAAAAAAGGGGAAAAAAAAGGAAAAAAAAAGGAGGGAGACAGCCAAACAGATGTCTGTGCTCCTCCTCCTCTGGCCTTCAAAGGATCTTCTGCTCCCAAAACCATTTTGGCCACACGATTTTTGGTAAGTGCACCAAATGTGCAGTGCCACAAGACCAGTAAAGCCCTGCGGCTTTCCAACTGGTCCCAGTGCCTCTGCACCCCTGGGGAGCAGGCTGTCAGCCCTGGCATTTCACCTGTGCCTGGCCTCGACAGCCCACGGCAGGGGAGGGATGTGAACTGTGATTTTACATTAGTTGATAAACATTAATAAGAAATAAATGCCCACGAAACACATGGGATGGGTTATTACTGCAGCACGTATAAAGGAGGCAGCGAAGCATCAGGAAACTTCGCTTCCCACCTTCAGAGGGGATAATACAGCCCAGCAGAGCGGAAAGAAATGCAAAACATCATTCATCAAAGCAGCAGCAGCAGGGTTTTCTGTCGTAGGGAAGATTTCACAACAAGGACGCTCTCGGCACGGGTGGATTCCTGACAAAACAACGGAGCGACGTGAGCGATCTCTGATCATCTCCTCGCGTGGAGTGCCCAAAAGCTTTCGGGAGCTTTATGAAATCAGAGCTGCTTTACGTATAACAGCTGAAATGAAAAGGTGGGGAGGGAGAGCATCCCCCGTGATATCAGCCCTCTGGAAGCGGAGCTGATTGTGCTCAGCGTGAAGCACGCTGCTCCTCCCACCGAGCTGCAGGCACAGGGGAAATTCAACAATTTGCAGAACAGGGGCCCTGCTTTTGTTCCTCTCGTCCTCCCCCCCTTTGACACAGGCACAGCCGAAAAGACTGCCGCTAATGCCAATTAGGTGATTTGAAGCCGGGCGCCGAGCTCCTCTAAATGCAGCCGCACGAAGCAGCAGGATTCTGCTGGTGACATTTGGGCCACAAATGAAGTCCCCCAGCGCCATAAACAATCAGGTAAAGAAATCTGGGAAGAAATTACCCGGCACACCTCATCTTCTCGGCCCCCATGAGATCCATCTGAAATGTGTTAATGCATCTGATTATGATCTAAATTATGTACAGAGGCTCCTGCCAAGTGCTCTGCGAAGTTTCTTTGTTGTTAAGTTGGAGGCTGGTGGAGAACGGTGCAGTCATCGCGTTTCAAATTCGATTTGGGGAAAAAAAAAAAACAACATTCTCCTACTTCATCGCTGGCTCAGGATGAGGAGTTGTGGGAGAAGGTCGGTGTGTGGTTCTGCTCCGCTGAAGTAAGAGCAGAAGTGGTGACAGGACTAAAGAGCCTGCATTACCTGGCTTGGGGTCGTAACCGGAGCCCACTGGATTTTCTGTACGCAGCCTGTGCCAGAAAATGACTGCAGTTGCAGCTGGCTTTCTGCAGGTATTTCTCCTGAAAGGGGGCAGAAACACCGGGGCGTTCTCCTGCGCACACAAACCTGCGTTCCACGGACCAGAAAACCTTGAAATAGTTTCTGAAAATGGTAAGTTTGATAAGAATGGCTTGCAAAACATCATGCGGGGTTTTTCCCATGCCTGTAAGGGCTAGGCTTAGCTGGTACCAGCTGCCAAACTCACTGCGATCCTTGGAGGCAGGCAGGAAAGCTGTTTTTCTTCCCACTGTGCCACACCATCACCGGTTATTTAAATAAAAATTAAAAAAATAATAATAATACACGCCTCCCAGGGATATATTCAGTACGTACAACTCGTGAAGAGCGCACAGATTTTTGTATGGCAAGGCTGACAACCCCACTCGCAATTCGAGCTGCAGACCGCCCCAACCTGTGTTTTATCTTCTGCTGGCATCCGACCAAGCCTTCACGGCACCGACCAGCAGCTGCTTTCCACCGCAGTGCTGCTTTCCCCCGTTAGAAGCAGAGCCAAGGTCACCTTGCTGAGGGAAAAGCAGGTTTTCAAAGGAGGGTCCCATATATTAAAGGTCTTCTGGCCATTACCTCTGCCCTTGCAAACACAGTTGTAGCAACGACTGCATAAATACAGCCTAAGAAGGGTCCTAAGGGAGACAACTAGCATGTAATATCTCTAACACACTTATTTTGTCACTGTACTTACATCTATCTATGACAGAGAGCTGTCTGCATCTCCGAGTGCACTGCTGTGAACAACTGCTGCTCAGAGCTAGTGCTGCTCCATGGGATGATGTTAGCATTAGAAAGCCACACTTCAGCTTGCACTGCGTGCTAGAGCTTGCATTCGAGCAGCTTAGTTTCCACCTCGAAAGGCTCAGAGTGGGCAGAAAGAAACAAAAAATGCAGATGTGAGGTCTAAACGTTCACCTGAGATGTCCTTTTTGTGTTTCTTCCTAAAAAAACGTGTCGGTGATGGTGAGCTGTGCTCCTGCCTGCAGTGAAATTCGGTGCAAGGACCAAAGCTGGCAGCGAGCACGTGCAAAACCTGGCCCGAGCCGAGTTCTCAGACCTCATTATCGGCAGATCTGCAGGAAATTCGGGATCAGAAGTCCCACTGTCGTGTAGGGCTTTAAACACCAAAGCTGCTTTAATGTAGGCTCAGCTCAGGAGCTGGATCTCAGCCAGCCGAGTGCACTGCCTGGGAAGGAAGTATTTATCCCGGCCAAACACTTCCTAAACAATGTGCTAGGTCCTTGAAAATAAAGCCGACACGAACCGACCGGATTTTAACCCGAAATTCTGTACGTTGGCTTTCCCTCCTGCTGCAGGTAGGGCTGCTTCCCTTCCGCAGCACGCTTATTTTCTCTCCCCTCTTTTTTTTTTTAAAAAAGAAGAAAAGATTTTTCTCTTTCAGCTTAACTTTGAGGCAAGATGGGAGACCAGAGCCTGGCCTCAAAGAAGTGAGAGCTTTTGAACTGCAAGTCAGCAGGCTCTCACGGGAGCTGAGCTCGAGGGCTGCTCTGGAATAAATCAAAAAGGATTTACTCTTTCACTCCAACAAGGCAGAACCTCCTCTCCCGCCCCAGATGTACGCAGATGGGCAGCTGGGGGAAGGCAGAGAGCTAAAACACACTGAAGGAAGCAAGAAGGGAACTTAACAACAAAAAGGGAACTGAAACGAGCACCATTATGGCTCGGTTGGCACAGCTAAGCACCATCCTGCAGGGCTGCATTTCCTGGAGGAAACCAGCAGCGAAATCTCTGCTGGAAGCAGCTCAAGCCAAGCACACCCGGAGCAGATGCTCCGAGCGCGACACACAAGGACACACAGAGCTCCTGGAGGAATCTTCTGACAGCAAGTCAAAGCAGGGGCTTGAACTGTGTCAGCAGGGCTGCAGCTGTGATTTTTCACAGCTTTGTAGAGTTCAAGGCCAAACGGGACCTCACGAGCACCCAGTCTGCTGCTTGTGGTCTGGGCCATGGCATTTCATCCAAGTTTTCCTAAGAGCAGGAGTAGGATCAGGATCAGGAGCCAAACCTGAAGGCAGAAGTGACGCCGTGCTCCAGCCACTTCCCCTTCGCCCAAACCCAGCTTCTTCAGCGGTTTTGGCAATACCCCAGGGTCTGCCTCTCAGTGAGGGACCCAAATTCCCATCCTCTGGCTCCACTACAGGAGCGACAGGAAAAGTGGAGGAGAAATGTGCTGCTGGCAGCAGCCTCCAGCCTCTGTGGTGTGATTGCCCGTGCTCCCCCATCAACCACACGCCCCAGCAGCAGCAGCCCATGGACCAACCCTTACACGGCAAACCTACCTTGGTTACAAAGCTTTTTGGGACAAAAATCTGCTCAAGGAATGAAACTACAGAAGACAAATTTGCAGATCACGCACGTGGTTTCAGATCCTCACCTCCCTGCTGAGCGCCAGGATTCGGGTCCTGAGGCACGCAGACATCAAGCGAGCGAGCTCAGAGCATCGGCAGCATCCAGTGCTGCTTTTAAAGCCAGAATTTAAACTGCTGGAATCAGAACCTCGTGAAATGCTGCTTCTTCCCCTGCGGCTCTGCCAGCTGCAGTTGGCGAGGACTTGGAGTAAATAAGGAATGATTGAATGAAAGTGGATGGCCAAAAAATATAAAGGGTCGAGCAAGACTCCACGGTGACACTGCCCCAGTGCTGCCCAACTCTTCGAGGCTTTCCCCATCACTCATTTCTTTAACGTGTATGGTGAGAAGGGAGAACGGTGCTGGAAAACCACACCACAGTGATGTTCTGGTGTTAGAATACAGCAAGGGGAGAAGCAGTTTAAAGTTGGGCACGGCGCAGCCTGGTGCTGCAGGGCTCCTTTATGCCTTACCTTCTGCACCGCTTCTTGGCTCGCAGCTGTCCGGCATCACATCAGCTCCTCCTCTTCTTCTCCTCTTCCTCTAAGTGTTGATCTCGAGGGTTCCTCTCCTGTTTAATACAAAAACAGAAACAAGGCCACGTGTATTTAAGAAACACATTAACTATTGCCTCGAGAGACGCCGCCTAATAGCAAATTGGTGAAAACTCTCCTTCCAGGCCACTTCAAAACAAGAGATTCCTGCAGCCCCAGTGTTCCCACGGGACTGACACCCCTGGAGGACACCAGCTGAGGAAACAGGCACAGCTACTGATAGCTCTCCCTACACCAGACAGCCAGCAGAAGGGATATTTCCAATTCTTCGTAGATAAACAGGATGAGATGTGGGTCGCCAGCTCCAAGGCGGCTCGCAGTTCTCAGCTCCCCTGACAGAAAACATTTCCCCGACAGCACCTGGCAACCAAAAGCTCTGCAGTCACATCCATTCGACCGTTTCCCACCAAAAAAAAGAAGTCAATTTTATTCCTTAAGCTCCAAGGTCAAAGGGGAGCACCGCGAGCCGCCCAGCCCGAGCTGTTCCGCGATGCACCACGAGCTTTCCCTCCAGCTCCAGCCCCAAGCCCAGCAATTCCCAACGTTTCCTCGTCCAGGCTTTTCCCCAGCTCAAATCCCATTTCAGCCACGCTTCTGCTGCAAAAAATCAGCTCTCAGCAGCTAAACACACAGCAAACTGACCCAAAACAATACCTCTAGCTACTGAGGACAGCCATTCAGCAGCGGATACCCCTGCGGCGGGCGGCATCTCCTTTTGGTTCGGTGCTGCCCGTCGGGGCCATCCACATCCTGCCTCCGGGCTCCTCCACAGCTCTGGCCGGTCGTAGTTTTGGCGAGGAGCACGAGCAGAGCTCCCAAATCTCCCTTTTCCCACCCTTATTTTCGCTAATGCTTTCCAGCCTCGCAGCCCGAGCTCTGCCGGAGCTCCCTGCGGGGAGCAAAGCGGAGAGGGAGCAGCTCGGCTCGGTGCTGGGCTCCAGCAACGGGACTGGCAGCTGCTTTTAAAAGCTGCCTCCATCGTTTGCTGGCAAAACGCTTCCCAATTCCTGCATCTCTGAGCTCCGAAGAAGTAAACATACCCCGAAGAGAGCTCTTCAGGGCTTGGCAAGCTGTGGGACGTGGCGCGTTTCCAGCTGCGCGAGGCTCCGAGATGTTTGCAGAAACGGGAACCAAGAGCCGTGACCCCTCCGCCCCCGATTCCTCCCCGGATTGCAAAGCCCTTTCCAGAGTTCTTCAGAAACGACGAGGGAAGATGTTACCCAACAGCCGCAGCTGAGGATTTTGCTTCCTTGTGCCCTACAAAATCCACGCTTTGAGGCTGAACGACACCACCCGCAGCCCTGGCTGGCTCCCTGACCGAGGTCTGGCAAGGTTTTCAGTGACCCCACTTATTCTGGGTCCCTGAAACCCAAGACACTGTGGGACCTAAGAATTCAGAGCACAAAGAAATAGAAAGAAACCTTTAGCCCCCCACTAAATAGGACGCCCAAATTGGCATCACCCAAACCAACCTCTCCCCCGCCAGCTCCGGAGCGTAATTCTCATGCAAGCTCTGAACAACATCAGGGTGCTCAGGGGATGAACAACACCCGACAATAAAAGCAAAGCCCCCTTCTCCCATAACCACCGTGTAACAAAATGTAAAAATTACAAGCTGCATTAATGCCAGGGATCAGGAAACAACATCAGCAGCAGTACTGGTACATTCCTCCAGCTCAGCCGAAAAGAAAGACAGCTTCGCTCTCTGCTCCCCCTCGGAGAAGCGGTGGCAAGGAGCTGTTACGACTTCATTTTATTTTTTATTAGTTTTTACAAGCTAGCTATGCTAAAAGGTTGCACCAGTAATTTAAACTGCAGTTGTCAGCAGAAGTGAAGGACATTGTGGGATACGTTTTATTCCAGCTCTTTTATTGCCTGGCTCCTTGGAGCGATTCAAGCAGCTGAAGGATTTTAGAGGTACTGTCGCAAGGTCCGTCCCTGAGCAAGCTGCTGTTTAAAAAAAAAAAAGAAGGAAAAGCACAAAAAGAAAAGCCCCAGCCTTTAAAGAACTGGTATTTGGTATTGAAGGAGACCCGGTGCCAGTTTGCTTCTCTCCTTTACCTTCGTTCCCCAGGTGGGATGTGCCATGCCCAGGGATGGACACGCGCCGCTTTGCTCGTGCTCCTAGGCGAGGGACAGAGGTCAAAAAACCTCTCGAGGGGCACGGGACAGCACCTCAAACCTTGAGATTTCCATGGCACAGCTCCTGGAGGTGCTGCTGAGCATCACGGGGACATCAGGAACGAGGTGGGGAGCTCGGCTCCTCCAGCCCCGATCCCAGGAGCCGCCGCGAGCATCCGAAGCCCTGCGGGGTTTGTTTCGCCTTTCTCCTGCTGGGTCCGTCCCCGGAGGAGATGGATGTAGGGCTGGAATGCGACCCGGCTGGCAGAGGCAAGCCTCAAACAGAGCTGGCAAAAGCAGGAGCGTTGTGAAGATTCCCGAGCCAGCAGGCATCTGCTTTTCGTCCAGGCACCGCCTCGGGGTCCTGCTGGACTCCGCGCTACCGACGATTAAAAAGCAATTTAGTTTGCTTTGGCCGAAGCAGCGAGTTACTGTGATCAACCTCAGCTGGAAATGCACGAGGAGCTGCTCCCTTGTCCCGATTCAGGTCCTGATTTGGGTACGAGGCAGCTGAACCGGGGTGCTCGGTGCTCGGGGCGCAGGCGGAGGCAGCCTGGCCAGCTGCGGATCTCGGTGCCCAAGCTCCGTAGGCTGAGGCAGCTTTATTTGGTGCCTCAAAAGCAGCTCTGCTATGAATGTTTCTGCAGAAAACGATGCTCTGAAGGTCATTTATTTGACCTGCAGAGATGGAAGCCTTAGAAGGGAGTTTTCAGCCCTGCACCAGCAGCCTTAGAACCAGGCTCGGGGTTTTTAAGCTTTAGATGTGTTATTTTTTTGTTGTTTTTTCACTGCATTAAAAGCCTTTCGGGTCACCTTTGATGCAAGGAGCCGTCCAAAAGGAGGCAGCTGGTCAGGCGGCCTCTCAGCACGGCCGTAGCCGTTCCCTGGGCACGGGTTCAGAGCCCCACAACCCCCCCGTGCCATCTGCATGTGCTGCTTTGGTGCGTTACCCATCGGCGAGCTGAGGTCTTTCCAGATTTCCAGGAGGCATCCGGGGGGATCGAAATATTTCGTGTGAAAACGACCCCTCTAATCTTTGACACACGAGTTGCTGCTGCTTACAGTACAGTAGGGCAAGGCGAAGCTGCGTCCCTGAGCAAAAAGTGATGGAGAAGGGGGAAATTCCAGCGTGGAGACCGAAGGAGGACACAGAGGGGGTTTAAAGGGCTCAGCAGGGCACGGCCGAGGCAGGAGTTTGCTCTTCTGCCCTCCTCTCTTCCCTCTTTGGCTGAATTTGGCCATTTTCTTTTGCTGTTCCTTTCGGTGCCCACTGAAAAGCTTTTACCTTCGCCCCTTGGTACCAAAACCATCACAGCCTGCTTTCATCTCCCCTTTTCCCTCTAATTATATCCACTCGCTTCCCTATTTTCTTTCCTTCCGAGGCTCTCATCCACGTCCCTTTTTTCCTCCATTCCTCTGCCCGTACCGTCATTATTTCCCGCATTGTCCGGCCTTCTATTGTGCCATCAGAAACCTGCTCTCAACGCCCTTATTTCAGCTCAATCCCCTGCGCTAAGGGAGCTGAATATATCCACTGAGGCTCCTCCAGCAGCAACCTAACACAGAAATACACCCGCAGACATCATCCGAGGGTGCAACACCCCAGTTGATGTGGGCAGAGGGGCGAGGTGATGAAGACGTGGAGCCATCCGCCGTCCGCTTTCTATTTAGCAAGAAAATCCTAAAAAATGGGAAATTCAACCCTGCTGGGCAAGGCAAAGATTTTAGGATCGCACTGCAAGGACAGAAATTTAGGTTTGTGCAACTGTAATTGCATGGAGAGGGAGAGATGAAAGCAAGTTGTGATGTTTCTGGTAGCGAGGGGTAAAGGCAAAAGCTTTTCAGTGGACGCTGAAAGGGACAGTAAAAGAAAATGGGCAAATTTAGCAAAATAGGGAAGAGAGGGGGTCAGGAGAGCAAATTGTTATAGTCAAGTATCCTCCAGTGCCATTTAGTGCCGTGCACTTAAAACAAGTTTGTGAAGAGCAGGGATAAGCTCAGCTTGTTATGAAGCTAACAAAAACAATTCATTTCCCAGCAACGAGCAGGGAAATGAGTTTTTTGTTCCCAAAAGTCCAGCCCAACCCTGCCAGCAGCAAATCAGCTCCGACAGCCTGCTCCTACCCTTTAACTCCAGAGGCTGTTCAAGTCAGGAGCTCCAGCATCCCTTGGAGGTCCTCTTTTCCAAGACTGAATAACTACTGAGATCCCAAACTGACCAAGATCCCCTTTAAAACCCCCCTAAATTCCTTCCACGTGCCCAAGCCTGCCCATTGAGCTGATAAGGTGATGCCTAAGGAGTGTCAGGACCTCTTACTCTTACCTCTGAGGAAGGCAACGGCGAGGAAAAACTCATTTTGACCTGAAAATACCTGGCTGCGTGCCCCCCAGTGAGCCCAGTTACCTGCTTTCAGCCGAAGGACAGCTTCCAGAGCTGCCAAAGCTTGGCCAAAGAGGGAGAAAAAGCCAGTCCTAACCCGGGAATCTCCTCCAGTGGTGGACCCCAGCACGTGCCTGTCTCATAATTTCACCTCCGCCAGCCTCGGCAGCATCCTGCACCCTCTCTCCGTGCAAGGGATTTGTGTTTTATCCCCCCTCAACCCACCAAAGGCAGTGGGAGATGTGAGGATTTCAAGCCGATGTATTTTCTCCCCCCTCCAGGCACTGCCCCGCTGCTCTTCCAGCTTTTCCCACGTCTATTTTAACACACGGATGTCGGAGCTAAATAAGCTGCCCTGCTAATCTTTCCATGCAAGCAGTTTTGGGAAGCGAAAACAGCCTTTTTGTTTGTATTTCCCAGTCCCCACAGATGGCACCGCTGGCCCCTGAACTACTGGGAACTGGGAATTGTTCTGGGAACTGGGGGGGGCTCGCTGGGCATGCCCTCCTCCTCTGCCCACCCCACACCTCTACCACGGGGTGTTACACTCCATTTCCTTTTGCTACGGACAAAAGGAAATGAATTAAGTGGGAAAAGCCGTCCTTAAAAACACATCTGCTCCTCTACTGACCATCAGATGAAAATAACCTGAAAAACTTGAAAAATTTAAGTATTAGCCTACAAATTTAAGACAAACGCATCTTTCAAGGACTCACACATTTCTCCTCCCAGCCAGGACTCCTGCAGGTCTTTGCTCTCACTGATAACTTTAATTTTAACACACACAAGCTCGAGGGAGGTGTTCAGCGATGCTTAAGCAACGCAGCTTTTCTCCCTCCTCCTCCTTCTTTTCTCCTTCCCCCTCCACGTTTCCAAGCTGGCTCCACTTTGGTGGATTTTCATGGGAACTGCAAGAGGAGACATCTGCCAGACGTCAAATCACTGCTCCCAGGAGTGGGGGCATGGCAGCTTTAAAGGCCAACGGTCACCGTGCTTTTATTTTTCTTTTTTTTTTCCTTCTTTATTTTCCTTTTTAATCGTTGGAGCTGTCTCTGTTCTCAGCCTCGTTCTCCAAAGCAGCTGAGCCGTTTTCACTGGAGCCTTCCCCAAAAGCGCAACTCCTGGCTGACAATTAGGGGACAACAAAACAAAAGCAAATGAAAACATTTTTTTTTCCTCTCTTTTCCTCTCCTTACCCACCTTTACCTGCAGTTTTTGTTTAGTTTCATTATCCTATTTAGGCCCTGTAGCCCTTTTGGAAGAAAACCTCACCATTTTACCCATCCATAGGAGTTCCGCAGCACCCAAACACCTCTTTGCAAACCAAAACATCCATTTTCGTCGTGAAGGTACCAGTTTTACACAAGGCACCCTAACAGGCATGTTTTAAGCCAAATTCTCTTCAAACATCCTGCATCACAGCAGGGCATCAGAGCAAGAAGATAAAACGCTTGTTGTGACACGCAGCATTTCCATAATCAGGGCTTTGCATCATCCACGAGCTCTTTTTTTTCTTTGGAAAGTCTCCAGGAGCCCCTGGAAAAAATCCCAGACACCTTGCTGCCTCCCATCACCTGCTGCCTTTATCTACGCCCCAAATCCAAGCTGCACAAAATCCCATATTGCCCAAAATCCCATACTGCACGAAATCCCACACTGCACAACCCTGTGGCACCCTGACCAGGGACCAGCTGGTAAATTCTCCGGGTGTTTATGGTGGAGCACGTGTGCTTCTGTGCGGGTACACTCGATTTCCAACATTATAGGGGATTTTTATAAGGGATTTCTCGGAGTGCATCCCATTTTCAGGCAAAACCAGCCAGCAACTTTACGGCCACTGAGCTACCTGGGCACAGGGAGAGCTCCAAATTCTTTGCTATCAACACATTTCCCATATTAATCTTCCCCAAATGATCCATAGAGGAAATTTATGGGTGATGCTCTATTAAAAGCCCCGCTAACTCTTGCTCTAAACCTATAAAAAAAGTACCTACGCCTTGAGAGATTGTACACGGGGAAGGACAATCTGTTTTCGTCTGTGTTTGAGAGCACGTTTTTGCAAATTTAAACTAAAATAGCTCCCAGATGGAAGCCGTATCATTCCAAACTCAACCTTAAAAACACTTCTTTTTAAAAAAAATATATATTTAAAATGCAAAGCTTCGGGAAATTTGGCCCCACGGAAAGGCTGGCACTTCGCGTCCTCGGAGGCGCGGCGTAACGAGCCTCGGGATTTTGTTTTTGGGTGAAAGATTGGAATAATAGGGCAAAGTTAGCGGCAGCGAAGTTTGCCCTCTTGCTACAATGCGTGCAGCAGACTGTGGAAAATGTCTTTACAAAGCTCCAGGCATCCACAGAAGCAGCCGGAGTGGGGAGCGGATTCCCTCACCCTCCATCCACTGACTGTAAGCAGCTTTCTTCTGCGGATCAGTAAAATATGTGATATTTATGATTTAAAGAGCCCCGTGTAGATGTAACACGGCTTTAATGCTCTTCCAAGTCACAGCTTTTTCCCGTCTAAAGCTTGAATTTAGCTTCACATTTGCATCAGCGCTGCGTAATGCAGACGACGGCGCGGCTCAGCCCTTCCTGCTTGTTCTGCTGCAGGAGAGGGAACAAAAAATGAGGCTTTTTCCCAAGAAAACTGACATGGAAATGTAGAGAATGGGAGGAGATAGGGGAGACGAAAGCAGGATCTTTGCTTATTTCGGACAGGGCAGGAGTGCAGTCAGCACCTGGCTTTTTTTGGCTTCTTCCAGGTGTTGGAGGGGTTTTATGTATGCAGCAGGTGGGATGGATAAAGGTGGAAATGGTTTGACCCGCAGGATCCCAGGGATGGAAAGGTCAGCCCCTCAAAGCCCCCAGCAGAGTCAGAAAGCATCACCAAAGCTCTCACTCTGCCTGCTGGAGGAGAAAAACCTGGCCGTGACGGAGAGAGAGGCAGGAGGGGAAGAGAAAAGGTTTGGTTGTACGAGGAATGCAAAACCAGGGGGGGAAATTGGGCTGTCAACACGAGCCAGGCCCACCTGGCTGGCAGAAGTTCTCCCTTTCCTAAAAACTTCAGGCAAGAGTCAGGAGCAGAAACCTTATTCCACACTTGGTCCCTCCTAAAATTCATTCTCTGCAGGGCACTGAGCAAGATCTGGGCACTCCTGGCACAGCTTGGCCAGAAAGTGCAGCTTTCAGCATCAATTTCTGCTAGCTAGAAAGCCCCCAGAATAATGAGAGATATTTAATGTGGCGATTTCAGAGCTGATTAATAACCCTGTGGCACTTTCAGATAGGTAATCTCAGAACGATCGAGATAAAGGCGATGGGGCTGGAGCATACGATAAAGTCGCTGAACACTGACCCCAGAAAGGGAGCTGGGAAAGATTTCCCCAGAAATCTGCCCCGTTTTTGCACCTCCAAACACACACGCGGAGGATCAGAGGTATTTAATATCTGTATTTGAGAGCAGCAGAGCTTTTTTATTAAGGGCACAGAGCAGAACCGAGTCCTGGGCACTGGAGATGGTTTAGTGGAGGTGCTGAGGTGGTGACCAGTAAAAGAGGAAAGGAATAAGTGGAGTCCTGGGTGAGAAGGAGCACCTTCTCCTCTAACCAGGTGATAGAGATCAGGTGATTATGATTATTAGGTGATATGATAGAGAATTATCTGTACCCGAGGCAGGGATCCACCTCTGGTGGGAAATACCTGCAGCCACACGCAGTTGGCTCCGGGCTCTGCCCTCTCCTACAGGCAGCCAGAGAGGCTGGGAAGGATCCTCACACACATTTGGGACGCTTCAAACTGATTTTCTAACATAACGGCAAGAAAAAAGGTCACAGGTTAAAAGAAAAAGTCATTTAGGACAGCGAGTTGTGGGGAAAGGGGGAATTTAGGACTTCCCCAGCCATAATTTTGGTCAAATTTCTCTGCGGTTCAAACCTGTTCAGCACAGCCTTGATGTTTCCAGCCGCTCACGGAGATACAAGCAGCCCCACCAAGCCTGCTGGGCCACGGGAAGGGGAACTGGGGACGGCGAAGCTCAGGCTGCCAGCGTGAGAACTGGGCTGATAAAGCCACGCTGCAGTTAACGAGGATTTCCTGCCTCTGAAGCTGCAGAAACAGGGGTGGGTTTTTTCTTAGAAATTAACTCAAAAACAGCGGTATGGTGAGCGCAAGTCGCGGGAGAAGGAAGCGCAAACCAAACAGGAAAAAAATGGGGTGAGAGCACGGCACACAGCTTCTGCCTTGGGTCTGATCCTGCCTCCAGCCCCAAATTGGGATGCCTCAGAGGCTCATCCCATCACCCAGCAGTTGAACGCAGCCCCTGTGCTGAAAGCTTCTTGTTCCCGACGCTGGCCCCAAACCCAAAACGCTGCACAGGGACCCACAACAGCCTCAAAACCAAACCAGCCCGAGCAGAAGCCAGCAGTCATTAAAAGCTCAAAACCCTTAACCCAGACGCTCGCGGGGTCTAAAAAATATAAAAAAATATCAAGTTTTTTATGCTCTAAAGCTTCTGCTCCATCATTTCAAACCGCAGTGAAACCTAAGCCGTGATTCTGAAGACAGCGAGGACCGAGGAGGTGTTTCAGTGAGCATCACATCGATAAACTGATGACAATAAGTTTGATTTCAAGCCAACGAGGTCACGCCAGGTACCACCCGCTGGCATCCAGTTTTAAGAGAAGTTTTGCTGCTTGCTTGGCTGCAGATTGCCTGGGAAACGTGCTGGAGATTTCCCCTATGCAAGACGAGAGATCTTCCTTACTACTGCCTCAGCGCACAACCAGGAGCACAATTACGACAACCTGCAGATGCTGGGAAGCAATAATTAAGTGAATTAAGGCAAGGAAGAGCTAAACCATTTGCCCAGGGCCACCGAAGGCAGTGACAGAGGAATTAGGGGTGTTTAGGAGCCTCCTGCTCACAGCCTGGTCCCGAAGCCCTAACACAACCCCCACGGGACCACCTCCAATCACCCTGGAGATGGGCTAACTAATTAACAGGGAGCCACGGGATGTAAGCGAGCAGTTGGGTGTTTAAATTAATTACTTCTGCCTCAAAAGCATCCCAAAATTAGAGCTTCTCCTTGCAGCATGCCCCTACAACAGCTCGTTACCTGCACCCAGCCCCCGGGGCGGCTCTCCGTAGGAGATTTCCTTGGGAGAGGTTTCCGGCAGCACAGCGCGTTTTCGATATTAGGATGTAATAAAAAAAAAAAAAAAGAAAGAAGGAAATTCGTGAATTGGCTGCAGCAATTTGAGAGATTTGTGGCCATAGCAACGTTACTACGAGCCGTGCTGCAGGGAGCAGCAGCCGCTTGGCTCCTCTTGTTCCCTACTCTCTGCACACCCCACGAGGTAAGAAAACATCCCCCAAACGCCTGGGTGTGCTCTCCCCATCGCTATCCCGGACCTGAAGTCACCAAAAAGTCCCAAGGGCTCTTCGGGAGGTTGTCCTGCTCCTGTGCCACCAGGACGGGCTCTCCCAAGGGATCTGTATCCCCCGGACCACGTCGTGCGAGCGCACGATGGTGCTGCTTTGACAGGGGATGAGTTGAGGGCACTGCCTGTGCTCGCAGCAGCTAATAAACCAACTCCTTGCACAATCTGAACCTCGTTAAAGCTGGTTATTGCTGCCTTATGTCACGCGGCTGCTGCCTTCCTCCCCGTCAATCTTCAATTCACCCACAGGGTCTGGTGAACCTCTCGCGACGCATCCGTTTGGTGCCCAGCCGAGGACCTAACAGGGCTCTGAGCTCCCCTCGGGCCCGCAGGCACTCTGAGAAAGAGAAAAAAAGAAATCAAAACACCGAGAAACGAAGCCACGAAGCCTCCTGCCTGCACCCCGCTCTGAGAAAGATGCATCTGGAGGGGAAGAGGCAGCAAACTTTCCAAATGAGCAGCGAGCAGAGCGAGGCTGCAGCCGTCCTCCAGCAGCGACTGCAATCTGCCCGCTTCATTTGGCCCCGCGGTTTCTATCAGAAGCTCACTAGGAGGAGATTCTCGTAGGGTAGTTAAAGCAAGGGGTGGCGGATGACTGGGGTTTTATTCCCAGCTGCAGCTCAGACCTCCTGAGCAACCTCAGGGAATTGGCTTCATCTGCTCCACTTCCCCCGCTCACAGCATTCCTCGGTGAGCCACGAGGGACCTCGCGGGTCACAAATAGCAACCGAGGGTAGAAATATCATCGAGAGAAACCTCCCCTTCGACAGGATGTGAAGCGTCTTACAGATTTGCCTGTAACAAGACCGAAGGACTTCATTACACCGAATTTATCTAGCCGGTTCCTCCGAGCATCCCACTTTTACAGGGACACCCACGCCGTGCCCACAGCCCCACGCCGCCAGGAAACTTATTTCAGGATTTATCTCCCTAAATGGTCTCAAATAATCATCGTGGGAGACATGAAGGGGAAAAATAAATAAATAAATAAATAAAATAAAATAAATACTGCATCTTTTGCTGGTCTGGCTTAAGTTGTTTCCTAAGTCTGACTCTGAAATGAAACCTGAGCGTGGGAGCAAGGGTTCTTAGTGAACCCTCCTGACCCCTCTGCTTCAATCAGACCCAAACTCCAGGATCCAAGAAGAAATAAAAAGAGAGGGATGGTGGGACACGGGGGAGAACAGCATAAATACAACAAAAGAATAAAAGCAAGGAGGAGAGGGGTGCTCATTTCTTAAACTTTTCTAATTTAAGCCTGAAATTTGATGTCATTCGAACCAAATACATCCTGATATTGGGGTCTTCTCCCAGTTTTTCTTTGCAGGGGGCAGTGCAGGGGGGTATTTCTTTGTAAAATGTTTGGAGATGCTCAGGCAGATGGCCAAAAGCAACCTAACGCGTGCACCTTCCAGTTCAAAGCTCCTGCACCACGCCGATGGCAAATTGTTGGGACAACGCATTCACTCCTCAGGGTAGCTTCAGCACCAGGAGAGGAATTTGGGGGTAATCTGGCAGGAAAAGACGCAGCAGGACCCGTTATGGGGCGTGCAACCACCTCTCCTCATGTACCACCCCCACCTGCAGCACGGCGATGCAGTTTCTGTGCCTGTGCTGAAGGATTCGCAGCTCAGGGCTTTGCCAGCTCCTTGGAAGAAAGGCAGCACAATGCTTCGCACCCGTTTCAGCCAGCTGGAAGGCAGAGCACACGATGCTGAAGCAGCCAGGGAGCAGACAAACAGCGAGGATTTGCTTTCGGGGTGAAGTCTCACGCTGAAGTCAGCCACGCTGACCGACTTTGCTCCTGGGCTCCTGCTGGACACAACTCCTACAGCTCTGAAATCTCTCTGAAAGATAAATCATTTCTTTTTGGTGAGGGCAAAAATCGGAGTCAAACTTTCACTTGTGGCTTTATTTCGAGTCAAATTCTGAAATTTACTGAATTAGAGTTTGCAAAGGACAAAGGGTTAAATGCTCTGTCCCTAATAACAGAGAGCCAAGGAGGCTGATGTATTTGCAGGGCAGCAGCGGCACAGAAAGGTGAGAGAACTTGGGGTTCCCTTGTTGGGAACAACAACGAATTCTCCCTAGGTCCAGATCCTGCTGCACAGCCCCGTTTTTAAGCACGGGGCTGGAAGCCCAGCAGAGCTACATTTTTTTATTTCCAAGCAAAGAACTTCAGAAAACTTTTCAAGCCGAAGTTTCCCGATCGGCAGCCAGGACTCTGAATCGAGACACCGGTAACAGATTCCTCCTCCTGTAGCCCGGCCGTGGTGCGATGTCTCCGCTTGCCAAACACCTGCTCGTCAGAAGCGAAGCCTGGCGCTCTGCAGCATGAAACAGGCTCTGCAAAAAACACACGAAGGAGCCATGCAAATGAGCCATTTGCTCAGGCTTCCCGCGCAGCAGCCCGTCCCTTGGTGGATCTGCTTCCAGACCAGAAGCTCCCGTGGATCACAGCAAGGTGGAGAGGCACAATCAGAGCCCTGAGAGCTTCATCCAGGCTCTCCATCCTGGATTCTTCTACATCTTGTCCCCCCATGAGCTGCATGCCAGTAACATCAAACAGAGCTGTCTTCAACTACAACCCCTCCGTTTCACACCGCACGGGGCAGATCTGGGGCTCCTTTAATTTTGCGCCACACATTTTGTACAGCGCGGGCTTGTCCAAAGCCTTCCCATTGAGAAAACCCAAGCTAGGAGGTTTTACATAATGCAGAAATTTTGGGAGAGGCGATCACGTTACGGATAGCAGGGCGAGATTAATGTCGGCTCAAACGAAGTCTTCACCTGGGGACCACAAACCTGGCTCCAGGCTTCATCCAGACGCAGAAACCGATTCCTGGTGAGCTGACTTAAGCCTCGTGCTTTGACTTCTTTGCAAACCATTGCCTTTTGTTGTTGTTTTTCTCCAGCATCTCCACGGATGAGCAACAGCGTCTGCTAAACAGAACAGCCTGACCACCTGTACATTAAAACTCACATAATATTATACTGGGTACTTCATTCCCACTCACATTTATGTTGACTCCAGAGGGTACCAGAAGTGCTGCCTGCATCGACACCCAGCAGCTTGCTCCTTCAGCCCTGATTTTTTTATATTTTTTTTGAAGTATGGGTGTAACGAGAGTTGCGCCTGCATGAAAGGCGACTCAGAGCTATCTGGCTGACCTAAATAATGGTAATTTCCTGGTAATTTCACATAACAACTTCGGAGCTTGCAGTACCTCGAGCAATCAACACGCCCTGGGCACGCAGATAAAAGCTGGTGGCTTTTCACTTTGCTATCTGAGCCATCCCTTCTGCCGTGTGCATCTCTGATAAGTGCCCAGCTGCTGCGGAGGAGAACCACGAGTCCCAAGCCTCAGATATCCTTTTGATTTTATCCAGCTTCTGGGAGGACGAACTCTCCGGCCTGCCAAAATGATGGAGAAGCACTACAGGGGAGAAAAACGGTGACTTGCTTTCATCAGGCTGCAGGGTCCTGGATCACTGAAAGAAATCCCATCCAGGAAAGGTGCACACAGAGGCTGGAAGTACGGCGTTATCTTAGGGATCTGGATTAATAAGGAGGGAAAACTTTGTTTGCAACTGGGAACTGAATTATCAGACGTGAATGCAAAATCCCTGCTGACAGTACATGGGAATAAAGATATCTGCTTTCAGCACGTTTTGGATATTACCCTCAGCTGCACCTGGTTCTGCTGACACAAGAAGTTTTACGTGCCTCAGACATGTTTCTTTACTCATCTTGTATTTCTCAAAACAAATAATCAACAAAAAAACAAGCCCCCCACAACACCAACATTTTTTGTCAAGTATTTAAGTCCTAGACATCCTATGAAGACCCCCAGTTAACGAGGTATCATCTAAGGCAATCTGGTGCTTTTCAACTTCTCCTTTGTTCACAACAAGCAAGCAGCCTCGGTCCCTCTCCTTCAAAATGTTAAAACAGGAGGGATTTCATTTTTGAAGCAATTTAATGGATTACATTTGAGAATTACACATCCCATCTGCCTCTTTGCTTTTTGCTTCAGTGCTCCCAGCACCCCAGCAGCGTGCTGGGGCAGCCCCGTCCCTTTGGTGGTGCACAGACACGGGTTTCTATCGGCACTGCACACCCAGGCCAGGGCTGCCTCGTGTCCAGAACTTGCAGATAACACTTTCTGGTGACACACTTTGCTTGGATTCCTCAGGTTTTTGTTCCACGTTAAGCACCGAACACATTAGCGGGGAACGGGGATTTGCCAGGATGACAGCAATATTTGCAGACTGACATCAATATTTGAGGGTGCAGACATGCAGACAAAGAACCTGTCTTGTGACAGGCAGTAACACAAAAATCAGAGTTTTAAGGTGGCAGAAATTACTAAAAAAAAATAGAACAGAGGCAAATCCTGCCATGGGAAGACCAGCTACTACCAACAAGGATGATACTGCTGTGCAGCACTGCAGGATGAACAGAGATGGCCCCAAGAGCACGGTCCCATTCTGGAAAAGCACCTCACCTGGAAGATTTCAGCCCCTACACAGAGAGATGACAAGAACAAAGATGCACAAGTGGATAAATAATAGGAACAAGGACTAAATGCAGTGCCTGGGCCTATAGTATTAAGTTAAATCATGCCTGAGTCGATCCAGACAGCCCCAAGATAAGGGTCAGGAAATGGAACAGGCTGGGGACCTATCCCAAAAGCAACTGGGACAGGGCTGTGCTCATGTGGAGGCTGCTGAACAGTGTGATGGTGTCCAGATGGTGTCAGGAGGGCTCATCAGGCCAGGGAACGGGTCCTGGCACCAGCCAGTGTTGAGCTGGAGGTGCTGAGGTTGCCAAAATCCTTGCCCTACTCACCAAAAGGCTCTGTCTCAACGTGCTGAAGTTGCACCACCGTTAGCAATAGTCTCCCATTTCAGAATGCCCCACGAGTCCAGATTTAGCACCGTAAGAAATGATGATGGGGGAAGTTCCAGGAAAATCTGAGTACACTAAGAAGGCAAAGGGAAAAGGCTTTCCCCATCCTCCCCAACAGATGCACAACATGTTAAAGCTGTTTTTTTAAAAAAGCAACAGCTTCTTAAAACTGCAAAACTGATGGAGGAGTAGGATCTAGGGACCAGAGCTCCCTCCTGTCCCCTGATAAGGGACCAGCAAGGAGAAGGGTGGCAGCCCTCAATAGCACTGCACCCCGACTGACCAGGGGAAGTGCTTGGGGCTGGATGGGGAGGAGACCTACTTCCATGGGGGTAAATCTTCCAAATGCATCAACGTTTTGAGTGTCTGCTCACTTAATACTGGAAAGAAATGCATGAACTCCCTGTAAGAGAGTACACGGAGCTGCTTCACATCCTCTCTGCTGGGCAGGACCTGCTCTCTGCAGGATTAGG